AGACTTATAATATCACAGCGCTGGAAAAGCTCGACTGGCGAGCTGAGCATAGTGCACTGCTCATCCTTGCAGCACCCAGAGCGAGAATAGCCATAACAGCTGCCACAGGAGCATGAGTATCAAGTCAAAGGCATCGACAGACCTACGTCATGTGGAATCCCCGAGCAATCTCTGCAACATTCACCGCGATACGTCCACACCCATACAAACCAATGGTTCTTCCTCTGACGATACAATAACGGAGCCTCTCACACCAACACCTCATCTTACTTCAGCTCGAACCCGGAGGATCCACTGAAGCGTCGCCTCGCGTGATAGAGTAGAAGGCCAAAGACAAGCTCGGCGACAGCGTGAGCATTCTGGCCCGGGGTGTTCATAACACAGATACCTAGCCGATGAGATATCCTTACAAATGTCCATGATGTCTAAGACCTCTCTTGGTAGCTTCATTCAAGTCAATATTATCGTAGCCAGCGCCCGCTCTGACGACCACTTGTAGGTCCTAAATTGGCACCACGTACTCGATGTACGAGACTGCAGTGGGCTCACCGATGCATGGTCAAAGAAGTCAGTATTCACCTTATCCGATCGAACAATACATCCAATGCAGCCGGGCAAGGCTGCGTAAAGTTCATCAGTTGATTTGTATCTGCGCATAGTTTCACACAAGCCATCGGCGCAGGAGCAGAATACCCTTGTAATTGCTTCAGTTTGAAGCCCAACTCATCGCAGGCCTGACTTACTGCAGTCACCGCCTCCTTTGCAAAGGGCTTGGCCGCAGCCAATAAGATGACGGGTGGAGGGCTAGTAGGGTAGACAAGGGGGCTCATAAGAGTGGGGAGGATAAAAGCTCTACGGCTAGTGTCCGCCAGCCAGAGTGAACAACCCCAACAGTTGCTGATCTGTCCAATAGAGAAATATAGGGTGGTGGAATGGTACAGCATTATATATGAATTTACGTCTGAATGATGAAGCATCATCATAACCAAGGCAGCCAGTCGTAGCTAGCGACAGCGGCAATGTCATCACCACTGCGTGCCCTCTCGATGAGCTCTGTCACATGGTGAGCATAGGTTCTAATATCACCACCTGGTTGAGCGATGAAGTCCAGCCTCTGTCCAACAAGGCCGATACGACGTTCGATCTCGTTCGTGAG